GGTTGGTTATAGTAAACATCGAGGATATGTGGGTCATGGGCCAGCTCCATAGCCTAATGGTAAAGGGAGTCATATCCACATAGGTGACTGAATGTTTCTTTTTAGTGCAGACTTTTGCTATAGGGCGTGTGTGCTCACCAGGGAGACAGAGAGATACAGAGAGATAGAAAGCAAGAGGTCACCCCCCCAGGAGTGATGGCCACACCACAATTCCTTCTCTTCCACTCTCCTCCCGGGATCATGGGCACGCATGCATACATGCCTGGTGTGTTTTAAGCCACTGGGTCTGGGACTCAAACTGCAGTCAGCTACGTAGGAGTCTAGTGATGTAGCCATTATGGCAACTGCTGGTCCCCGAATTTTAAATCCTGGACCCAGTGACTTGCAAATAACACCGGATGCATGTGCGTGTATGCCCCAAATCCTGACGGGATGGGAAAATGGAGAATGGATTGTGGAGTAACCGTGTCCCATGATGGGGGGTGGGGGTGGGTGGGTGTATGCTTTTTTTCGCTCCATCTCTGGTGAGTGCTTGCACCCTGATAAACAGAGAAAACATCAGAGACCAGCAGGTGGCATGGTGGTTAAGGCGCTGGACACTCCCACATGGCCGACCACGGTTTGGGTCCCAGACCTTGTGGCTTGCTCTCTCTTGACCTCTCTCTCCCTCTGTGTGTGTGTGTGTGTGTGTGTGTGTGTGTGTGTGTGTGTATGTGTGGTCTAATTAAAATAAATGAATGATTAAAATAAAAAAAAAAACACTAAATGAGTCACCTATCACTGGAGAGGCCAGGTACCTGAGTACAGTGGATGGAGATTTTTTTAAAGAGGTTTTTGCCCTAGGGCACGTGCACATGCACCTGCCAAAGAGAGAAAAAGTGAGAAGTCACCCCCCCCAGGGGGGTGGAATAGCCATGCCGCAATCCCTTCTCCTCCTGGGATCTTGGACATGCACACACACACACCACCTGGCATGATTTTTGAGCCATGGGGGTCTGGAATTCAAACTGTGGTTGATCATGTGGGAGTCCAGCAATGTAATCGCTACACCATCTGCTGGTCCTGAGATGTAGTTTCGTTTTGTTTTAAAGATTTATTTATTCCCCTGTGGGGGGTGAGTTCTCATTTTCTCTCTGTCTTTCTGGCAAGCACACACGCCCTATAGCAAAAACATCTCAAAAAAAGGAAAAAAAAAAAAAGATGATTATTTATTTATTTATTTTTGAGAGGTTTTTGCTATAGGGCGCGTGCGCTCGCCAGAGACAGACATAGAGACAGAAAGCGAGAAATCACCCCAGGGGGGATGGTCACGCCGTAATCCCTTCTCCTCCGTTCTCCTCTCGGGATCTTGGGTATGCACGCACACGCGCCCGGCGTGAGTTTTAAGCCACCTGGTCCGGGACGCGAACTGTGGTCGACTACATGGGAGTCCACCGACATAGCCATTACGCTAACTGCTGGTTCCCTATTTCTTTTAATTTGACCAAGAGAGAGAGAAATGGAAAGTGGGAAAGCAAGCTGCCAGGTCCAGGACTTGAAGTGTGGTCGGCCATGTGGAGTCCAGCACTTCAACGACCACACCACCTGCCGGTCTCAGAGATGCAGTGTTAATTCCGGCTCCTCCATTCACTAATGGACTTGTCATATGACCTTGGACAAACCCTTGGATGTAGCGATTTGCCAGACCTTCTGGACCTTAGCCTGCAGCACATCTATGAGCACCTGGTGTTTTCTACCCAGTTTCAGTCCTGCTCTCTGTGCCAACATGGACAAGGGTGATTACGTAGATGAGATAAAACAGGTAAACAGTCAATTAGTAAAAGTACTTTATTTTCCTCTTGCATTTGCTTTATCTTTTGCTTTACAAAGTTGTGAAGTTCATAGCTTTATACCAAAATTTAACAAGGATAAGCTATTCACTTATAAACACTTTTGCAGTCAAATGACATCTGATTTCATTCTTCTAATCTGTATTCAATATATAAAAAAAAAAAAAAAAATCAGAAACCAAGGGTGCTGGAGCAGCTCTAGGGCATCTACTTCTCTTTAAACAGGAGAAAGATTTTCAACCACTTCCCCTTCTGACCCCCTCATCTCCCAATTCCTTTGGGCTACTTCTCTGAATGCAGAGCACATCCAGGAAACTAGCCACACCATGTGACCCAGCAGGGCCACATGCCAGGGCTGGAGGTAAGGTGAGAGGGCTGTTGTCTGCTAAGTAGTAGGTTTGATTGACACGAGGATCTCACACTCACTTGCACGTGGAACTCAGTATAGCTCCAATCCCCTCCACCATAGCTTCTGTCCCTCGCCACCCGACCGCTTCTCTCCAACCCCGAGGATCCTGATAATTTGGGGGCAGGGTGAAACCATGATTTTATAAATGTGGCAGGCATGGCATTCATAATTCTAGAGTTCTCCTTGAGGCAAGTGGAACAAAAACTGTATGCAAGCATATACGAACTGCAGTTACTTGAGCAAACTAGAAAGTACATGTTGTTCAAATCCCACTTCACAGTATTCTTCAGTCTCCCCTCCAATGAATTCTCTTTCATGAAATATACCATACCGTTCCAGTAAGTGCAAACCTACTCCCTCCAAATCATCCACATGCCTAGTCACTACCTTGTCCCCTGTGTAATCTACCAGAAGAAAAGACAAAACACAACTTTTGCTAGGCAAATAATTACTTAAGCAGCAATAATTTTGCCTATAAATTACAGGTAGGTTAAGAGCGAAATACTCAACTGCTATGCCTTCTGAGGGAGAAGAAATTTTCCCCACAAAAGTGGAAGTGTACTGGTAAATGAGTACTCTCTGAGCTCAAGTAACATCAGGTCAGGATCATTCTCCCCGGCAGATTTTGTGTAATAGCTCTGCAAATGAATAAAGAAATATGCCAAAATATATTTTGAACCTAGTTAACAATTTTTGCATATAACTTCGGGTGACTGATATTTAATCAGAACAAACAGCCATTAAAGTGTTAGCATATACACACAAAAGGATCCTTGCCATCCTTTTCTTGGCCTTGAGCTGTCACAAGAGGCACAGCAATTAAAATACACATTCTAAAATGGCTTCCAGCTACTTACAACAAATTAGCCGGATTTCGCCAGGTCTTTAGCAGTTTCTTTCCTTAGTGAACCTGCTATGATCAGAGCTGACATAGGTCTCTGAGCAATAGCTTGTCTATGAAGGGATATGGGCTTTAACCTGCCAAAATGTTGTGGAAGACTTGGGGGTGGGGGAGCCAAAGTTCTGTATGACTTTCAAGACACTTAAAAGTAACAACACAGGGGGCCCGCAGATGGCATAGTGGTTACCTTGCTAGACTCCCACATTGCCAACTGTGGTTTGAGTCCCAGATCCAGTGGGTAGAAACTCATACCAGGTGCATGTGTGTGCATGTCCAAGATCCTGGGAGAAGAATGGAGAAGGGATTGCGGTGTGGCTATTTTCCCTGGGGGGTGATTTCTCACTTTCCCTCTCTCTTTCTCTCTCTAGGAGCGCACGCACCCTAAGGCAAAAATCTCTTTAAAAAAAAATAAATAACACAACCCTAAGAGTCAAGATGTGCAGAATACCCTTATTTCTTAAAAGAGCTAGAATGGCTCCCTGCAGATCACACACTAACCTGATGTTAAAGAATTTCATGTGCTCTTGAAACAAAGATTACTATCAATGCTTCAAAGAAAACTTTCATGAAGTGAGGAATACAGTACAAGTCTAGGTGCCCACACATACACACACACACACAAAGGGCCTTCCATACATGCATACAGAGGCAGAGACATACACTATGCTACCAAAGTTAAACCCAAATCGTAGTTCTAACCGGTCCTATCAGTTTGAATATACTCAAAGTTCCCCACGACTGCCCGACACCTCACGTACCCCTTTCCTGCTAGGCAAAGGCCCTCCGCATCCTCATCTTTCAGACGTGTCCTGGGGCAGGACAGATGGGCACCTATGCAACAAAGAATCCAAGGCTTGCTATCTTAGCACGCTTCCCAGCCAACGTGAAACATGGCTTCACTTCAGCCCAGAGAAAAATGCCGTTTGGCAATAAATCCAAATGTGCTCCCTGGGAAAGCATCATGCTCAAACCCACAGAACAGCTTGGCTTCTCTGGTCACCTTTACAGACAATGGGAGTCAGAAGGGGGAAGAGTTTAACCTCACACAGAAATAGCGCAAACATGCTTTATGCCACAAAGTCTCTGCTCTCTCCTAAACGTCATGCAACTCTCAATAGTGTGTTAACAAAAAAGTTTTCCCACTCACAGGGACAGAAATAAATAGCTGTGGAACAGAAGTAAATAGCAGTATCTCCTAGACTAGTTCCCAGTACTTTCTGGATCCAGTAAGAACCACTGAGCCCTTTCCTAGAAAAAAGTGCACACACTGTTAGTCCTGTATGTTTCAGAGGAGCTGCAGACTCTCTTAAAGCCTACCCATGAACTCCTGGTGAAGCCCCCCTCCTCTAGAGCTTGAGGGAAGATGAGTTGATGTGTGTGCACTAGAAAGAGTGGGGATGGGCCCGGATTCTCTGCAATCCTAGAGAACGTCCTGGAAGCATGATCTATGGCACTGGGCTCCTCCCCCTCCTCTCTGAAAAATCTTGAGTTCTGAGGATCCTGAAACAAGAGGTTGGGAAGAAAAAATTCTTACTTTACTGGTAAGAGTCCAGAGAAAATCTGAAAGCAAAGCAGTCCCATCAAAGTTTTCTTAATTTGGCTGTTGTCAATGGACAGGGAGTCTTTCCTGTCACCATACTCACTCCACTCTTCTTCCCATGCTAACAGGGAAGTGAGGCAGATGCTGGTTTCAGGAACAAACCTCCAGGAAGCCTCCTTGTAGGCCCTAAGAACTGCAGTTAGATGCTTTTTCTAACTCCCCCATCATAGGTGCCATCAGTGGGAAGATCACCCTGTGAGTCCAGAGGAACTCTTGATGGCTGTACCAGCCGAGGCACAGCTAGACAGTGGCAGAGATGCAGGCTGCCAATGAAGCAAACCCACACAGGCGTGGAGAGTCAGAAACCGGAAAGGGAGATAATGTTCCACTCCCAGTTCAAACAGCCGGGCCATAGCAGCAGCAGTGAGAGCCCAGGTCTCACAACAAATCTGAAAGGCAGACATTCTGTCTGGGCGCTGCCTCCCGCCGAGCACTATCAAAACTTAACAGCGTTTCACTAGGACGTACTGTCTATAAGGACTTTTAATTAAGGGATTTGCTTCCCAAGTTCCTAAAACACAGTCAGCAGAGCAGCCACTCTAGCTGTTTGTCAGTCAGCCCTGTCCATCTGCAAAGCAAGGGAATAGTGAAGCACATGGCACATAATTGTGAAAAGGAAACTATCTGCTTCCCATTTAATGATACAGTTACTACAACTGAAGAAACTAAACTGATCCTGAATATCTAGCATTTGAACAAGCTTGTACTTAAAAGCCTAACTACAGGGTTCAACTGTCCTAAGAACATAAACTAAAAATCACAAACCGAAATCAATAAAGTATACGTATGATTAGAGTCAAAACAGGTAAGCAATAAAGATCTAGGTTGTTAATAAACATATGGAGAATGCTCTCAGCATAAATCATTATATATGTCATGCTGTCCCATAGGAGTATGGTTTCTTAAGATCCAGTTAACCTGACTAATAAAAACCTCCAGCGAGAACTGAGAAGTGTAATATCATCCCATAGAGCTGCCCAGAGACTTATGCTAGTGGTTAGTAACCACTTTCTTCTTCCCTGCCTCACTGGGGAAAGGAAGAGGGGCCTGTGTGAGAGACCCGTGGGGTGGGCCAGTGAAGAAAGTTCAACTAACAACTTCCCAACATGGGAGGCAAAAACTTCATGAATCAATTTTGCTGTCATCTTCGGCATGTCGTTCAATGTGTCCTGCAGCATCCTAGGAATGAAGAAGGGTCCATGAGAGAAAAATTGGCAGTAGGACACTAAAAAGCAAAGCCCAGTAGAGTCGCATGGGTAAATTCTATCCAGGATCAGTATGTGAAAGGCAGTCAGGAGCCAGCACTACTGCTCATTTACATGGAAACTATGCCCTTAAAGATGAGTTCTGGTCTTAGCATGCGAACACTGGAATAAACCTCTAGATTCAGTTACTAGATTTGAAATACCTGAAAATATTCTCTTTAGGTGCTTTCTCAAAAGCAATCTAATTCTTCAGTAAGCTAGAAGAAAAATCCCCTGGCTCTCCCTACGTACTGCACTTCGCAACACTAATAAAGCAAAGAAGGTCGGTCCGCCCCTGCTCCGAGCAGCCTGCTGCACCCCCGGTTGACCTTGAGTCCCACTGATATACCTGTTTGGATCCTTTTCTAGCAGTAAAAAAAGCGTCACAGTTCTTCCAGCGACATTTCAGAGTCTGAAAGTTTGGATTGGTGTGGTCCGTCAGCAAGTGCTGTTTTAAGTGATCTACAACGCCAAATATCAGAGAGCAACCATGCCACTGGGAAGAAGGAACAAGGGGAGCAGGTTAAAAAGGACGCAGTCAACAAGTGGCCAGAACATCCCTCTTTGGACCCCTAAGTACTGTCCAGGCAAAAAGTTAAGCCCCTTACTTCTTTAATTTATCCTTGGCTAGAAAATATAACAGAGCCAAAGACAACCAAATTAATTAACAATATGATAAAAAAAAACCTTGAAAAGACTGACATCTATTGACACTTCGGTATTTTGAGAAGGCAATGCACTAAGATAGCCTTTATATCCTGTTAGATAAGGTACAGATTAGCAATTACTTGCAGATAACTTTCCATAAAATTCAGCTTAAACTCTACATCATAAAATCGAGATTCTTGGGGCTGGCAGCTGGCACGGTGGTTAAGGGCGCTAGACTCCCTCCTGGCTGCTGTGGTTTGACATCCAGACCAGGCAGCTTGCTTTCTCGCTTTCCTTCTCTCTGTCTCTCTCTGGTCAACTTCAAAAAATAAAATAAAATAATGACAATATCTAAAATAAAATAAAATAATTCTTTTTTTTAAAGAATTATTTATTTATTATTATTATTATTTTTCACATGAGTTTTGCCAGAGAAAGACAGAGAGTGAGAAAGCAAGCTGCCAGGTCCAGGACTCAAACCCTGGTCAGCCATGTGGGAATTCCAGCACTTTAACCACCATGCCACCTGCTGGCCCAAAATAAAATAATTCTTAAAAGAAAAATCGAGTTTCTATCTTAGCCCATTTATTACAAGAGGCTTTCATCTAGTACAGAAAGTTATTTTTTTATTTTTTGGAGAGGTTTTCGCTATAGGGCGTGTGCGCTCGCCAGACAGACAGAGAGAGACATAGAGACAGAAAGCGAGAAATCACCCCCCAGGGGGGATGGTCACACCACAATCCCTTCTCCTCCATTCTCCTCTTGGGATCTTGGGCACACATGCACACACGCCCGGCGTGAGTTTTAAGCCACTGGGTCTGGGACGCGAACCGTGGTTAACTACGTGGGAGTCCAGCGACATAGCCATTACACTAACTGCTGGTTCCCAGAAAGTTATTTTTAAAAATTTAAGAACTGTTGACTTGTAAACTTGAAAATAAAAATAATTTTAGAGAGAAAACTACATTGTGGAAATATTTTTGTAGAAAATTGTGTTGGCTGGGGCCGGCAGGTGATGTGGTAGTTAGAGGTGCTGGATTCCCACATGGCTGACCATGGTTTGAGTTCTGGACCTGGTGGCTTGCTTTCTTGCTTTCCTTTTCTCTCTCTCTCTGATCAAATTAAAAATAACAACAAATGGAATTAAAAAAAAATTTTTTAAAAAAGAAAACTGTGTTGGCCACAGAAGCCTGACTTCACTCATAACTTTTATCACTTAAATCATTATTTTGTGATCACCTACCTTTTTTTCCCCCTAAACTATTAATTTTACTTACACATGTCACTCAATTTCATGTATTAGAAAGTTTACAGACTCCTTCTCCTGGCAATTTCCCCACAGGCTTGTATGTCATAAATGTTGAGATTCTAACATGCTTTTAACTAAAAAGCAATGCTTTTTTTTTTTAAGAGGTTTTTGCGATAGGGTGCATGTGCTAGCCAGAAAGAGACAGAAAGCAAGAAATCATCCCCTGGGAGGGGATGGCCACGCTGCAATCCCTTCTCCTCCATTCTCCTCTCAGGATCTTGGGCATGCACACACATGCGCCTGGTGTGAGTTTAAGCCACCGGATCCGGGACTCGAACTGCGGTCGACGACATGGGAGTCCAGCGACATAGCCATTATGCCAACTGCTTGTCCCAAGCAATGTAAATTTGAGTTTGTCTTCTGTCAGCACTAGCCCATCCCTCTACCTGTAAAACCAGAAGGTGTTTTCCGCTTTCTCAAGATCGATTAACTCTATTTGTGTGTTCTGGACCCTATTATACTAGATTTTGCTTGCCTTCACTGAGACGACTAAAAAGCAAAGACAGTAATAAATTGGGTCGTTGGAAATGTCCTGACATATTTTCCTGTTTTTCTACGCACAATTGTGTCAGGACTTTCCAATGACCTAATATAAAAACCTCGAAGATAAGCAGGCTATAGACAAACTTAAAATCAAATTTAAAAATTGAATGCCAAGTTTATTCCATCAACGCTGAAAATGAGGTTAGCGTTTTGGTGAAATGAAGTACAGTGCCATAAACGTTTCTTTGATAACCATCAATATTACAACTGACAAGAATTTTAAAGTCTATATAGTATATTCTTAAAGTTTTAAGAGATAATTATCAGCTCCCATCCCCAAATAAAAACCACATAATTAGTGGTAATGCACAGAGAGCTGAGGGTTAGAATTTCAAGACTACCAAATTTGTAATTTTCTATGCCTCAAAAACCAATGAGGACATAAAGCAAACCATTATTCTCATAATCCCTGAAGAGGGAGGTCAGGTCACAAAAATAAACACTTCTTCTTTTTCCTGTTTGTTGCTATTTTTGTAAGCATGCATGGATTTTACAATAAAACAAAAACCACCTAGAAGATAATCTCTGAACAGATGATATTTAAATATATCTCGTATCTAATCTTTTTTTTAGAGATTTTTGCTATAGGGCATGTGTGCTCACCAGAAAGACAGAAAGCAAGAAATCACCCCCTGGGGGAATGGCCATCCCACAATCTCCTCTCCTCCATTTTCTTCTCAGGATTTTGGGCACTACTCACATGTACCTGGTGTGAGTTTTAAACTACTGGATCCAGGTCCAGGACTCGAACCACAGTCAACTACGTGGGAGCCCAGCAACATAATCACTAAGCCATTTGCTAGTCCCACCTCATATCTAATCTTAAAACAGACTATTCATGGGGCTGGCAGAAGGTGTGATGGTCAAGGCACAGGACTCCCACATGGATGGCTACGGTTCAAATCCCAGATCTGGTGACTTGCTTTCTCACTTTCCCTCTCTCGCTCTCTCTGATGAATTAAAAATAGTAGTAATAATAATAATGATAATGATAAATAAAATTAAATTCTTTAAAAAAATACTACCCATTAAAATATAAAGACATTTTATGTGTCATTTAAAAAATAAGCTTTCTTGTCCTACACTGGAAGGCATAAAATAGATGCTCACATATGTTAGACTGGGGGCTGGCAAGTAACATGGTCATTAAAGACTGGATTCCCACATGGCCGACCACGGTTCAAATCCCAGACCTGGTGGCTTGCTTTCTCGCTGTCCCTTTCTGTGGTCGAATTTTAAAAATTATAATAACAAATGGAGGGACCAGCAGTTAGCATAATGGCTATGTCGCTGGACTCCAACATAGTCGACTGAGGTTAGAGTCCCGGACCCGGTGGCTTAAAACTCACGCCAGGCACGTGTGCGTGTGTGCGTGCCCAAGATCCCGAGAGGAGAATGGAGGAGAAGGGATTGCGGCATGGCCATCGCCCCTGGGGGGTGATTTCCCGCTTTCTATCTCTCTGTCTGTCCGGCGAGCACACCCACCCTATAGCAAAAAAACTCTCCGAAAAAAGAAAAAAAAAAAGAAACAAACAACTCACGCCGGGAGCATGTGCATGCGTGCCCAAGATCCCAAGAGGGGAATGGAGAAGGGACTGCGGCGTGGCCATCCCCCCTGTGGGGTGATTTCTTGTTTTCTGTCTCTCTGGCTCTGTCTCTGTTTGGCGAGCTCACGCGCCCTATAGCAAAAACCTCTCCAAAAATAAATAAATAAATAACAAATGGAATTAAATACATTTGTTTTTAAACAAACAAAAAAATGAAGATGTACAGAATGGTCTAGAATTAGGCAACCCAAGCCTGATGACAAAAAGTTTCTCTCCTTACCCAACAGCGGTAATTCTGCATCAGATTTAGCCTCACAGCCTGAATACTGCCATCATAACAGCCGGTATAAATCTGGAGAAAGAGATTTAAGATATTAGACCAAAATATATATATAAAAAAAAAGTAAAAATGCCTCCAAAATAAAAGTTAAAAGTTATTAATGCTGGTAGCAGCTTTAAGAAAACAAACAACCAAAACCTGTTTAGAGTACTAGAATGGGAAAGTATTTTCTAGATCATCCAGTCTAGGTACTCTGACGCTGTCTCCGTATGGAGCCACTCTTGGGACCATGACTAAGAGCAGGAGTGGCATGGCCCAAAGACATCTATCTATACTCAAACTTGGGTAGCCATGGCTTCTACTGGGCATCATTATTAGGCATTCAAATTTCATCGAAAGTAAGGGCTTTTCTACTTCAGAGTCTGAAAACCATCCATTCTGGTTCAACCTCATAACTTAAAAATAAAATAAACCAAGGCTTAGCAAGGTTAAGTGAGTTAGCTTCTACTTTTAGGACTGCTATAATTGTACCACACTAGTCAAATCTCCTTTCTTCATTCTTGTATTCTGTTCACATCATAATGTCTCTGGAAAAAGCACCACTCAATTGTTTTAACTGCCAGAGGGCACGTGTACTCGCCAGAGAGAAAAGTGAGAGAGAGAGCATTCTCAGTGGGGTGTGATCACGCCTAAATTCTTTTTCCGTCAGGACTTTCAGCATGCACGCACATGTACCCAGTGTGTTTTTCAAGTACCAGGCCAGGGTTACCTGGTTGGCCATGTGGGATCCAGCACCCTATGCAGAGTGCTTGAATGACTATGTGACAGGGCTAGCCTATCCACTTAATTTTCTGAAGCATCTTAAATTTACCTTCTATTTAGTGGTAGTGTAAGATTTTAACTGCAGTTCTTTTAGCTATTAATAAAAAATAGAATATTCAACATCACTGGGTTACTTATCATCATCATGCCAAGTGACAGAAAGGCATTCAATAATGAGGCACGTAAGAAACGGACGCCACTTTTGGAAGTGACGAGTGTAATTACTGGTATGTAGATTTTTTTCCTACACACATTCAAAGGCAAATGTCCTACGTGGTAAATAATACCCACCATACTTTTATGGATGGTCATACACATAATCATGTCTTTGTGTCCTCCATAAACTTGCAATCGATCATGGGACTTAAGCAAAAAAGAAAGAAAAGAAAGAGAATTAAGGTTATTTATAACTTGTGCTTAATAAGCATAGTCTATGAGGGCTTTTGGCAGGTTTAAAACTCTAATCTGAGGCACTAGGTTGAAGCACCAGCAGCATTCTAACAAGAATATAATCAGATGGAAGTTTTTCTAGTAAGTTCCATTCATCAAGGAGGGCGCTGGTAATTAGAAATAATATAACCGACTTCTTTTGAGAGTTTTTTTTTTTTTTTTTCCCCCACTATAGGGCACGTGCGCTCGCCAGACAGACAGAGACAGAGAGACAGAAAGCGAGAAATCACCCCCCGGGGGGATGATCACGCCGCAATCCCTTCTCCTCCATTCTCCTCTCGGGATCTTGGGCACGCACGCACATGTGCCCGGCTTGAGTTTTAAGCCACCGGGTCCAGGACGCGAACCGCGGTCGACTACATGGGAGTCCAGCGACATAGCCATTATGCTAACTGCTGGTTCCCCCGACTTCTTTAGTATCAAAGCTACACACTTAAAATCGTAAGTTTCAAGAGAATGGAATAGCTCTCCAAGACCACTGAAGTTTTGACACTCGGGAGCCTGACCAAACATCTCAGAGCAGTGTCTGAAGGAGGAGCCCACAGCCCAGCTGTTCCTAATTACCCTGAGTGCTTGTGAAAATGCAGATTGCTAGTTTCCGTCCCAGCCCTACTGTATCAGTAGTTAACATCCATCCCAATGGACAACCTCCCCAAAAGCATCCAATCAAAATACTGGCTCTAACTTCTACCTGTAATTCATAGACACGAACAAATTTATCCAGGCAAGCGGTCACCATCACTTTTCCTAGGATATTCACCACAGTCACTGCATGGTTGTGACCTTTGTAGATCCGCACGAGTTCACCAGTCTACATCGGAAGAAGAGGTTAAGAGTCACTAAACTTTCAAGATTCCTTCTACTTTCCAGATTCACAATTTTATAATTCTAAGAGGTATAATTCTGAGGTGACCTGTACACACATGTAACTGTACCCATTTTAACGGCTTGAAGCATCCCCTCAGGCATTTGTTACCGGTACAAAACACGTGCAGTGGTCCTGATGAAGAGAATCTGACGTCACAGAAACAGAAGGACCGCAATTCCACGTACCTCATTTACAGCTCTCAAAGCACTTTCACTTTTCTCATGTCATTGGATCTGGACAAGTCCTTCAGGTGGGATTACACCCAGGTTTACAGATTAGGAACTGAGCTTCAAAGAGCTGCCTGACTGACCTGAACATAGTCTCTCTCAGCTGTTTCCATTTGTTCTATTTTAAACTATATATCATATCCACTTTCTGAGAGCCTCAGCTGCCCAATTTATCTTGACTTTAAATGAGGGATTCAAACCAAATCTTACATAAACCCTGACGCTGTGCCCCATTAAAAACTTTGATGTCATGATTTTGAGGGTTGAGTAATAACATCCAAGAGCTTAAGCATAAGGATTATTATTAATCTTTCTGGGAAAAGGACTTATTTAAATTGCAAGAAGTTTGAGGAAACCTTCAAACTTTAACTCTCATTTTCTTAAAGATTACTCTGTATGACACCAGCATGGCTTACATGAATGTTGTGGGCATGGACTGACTGATCACTGGAGCCACTGAACACGAGGTCATTCACCACCTTAAAGAAGAAAATGCAATGATTTAGAGTGTGTATAAGGTTCTCACACTTGTAACACACACTAGCATTCTAATTTTCATCCTTTGTTGAAATAAACATGAACTAGGTATGAAATAATGAGCCTCTCAAACAGATTTTTCTCAACTGAAACTTATACCCTGTCACTCTGATGAGTTGACAACATATTAGCTTTCTTCAAGACTTTTTTTTTTTTTTTTTTTTGCTATAGGGCATGTGCACTCGCCAGAAAGATGGAGACAGACAGAGACAGAAAGCAAGAAACCATCCCCCTAGGGGATGGCCATACCACAGTCCCTTCTCGTCCATTCTCCTCTTGGGAACTTGCACATGCATGCACAGGCGTGAGTTTAAGCCACTGGGTCCGGGACTCAAACCACAGTCGACTACATGGGAGTCCAGCGACATAGCCATTACGCCAACTGCTGGTCCCAACATATTAGCTGGAGAATAATTAGGAAGTAGCCCAGAGGGGCATTAGACTCTACCCATATTCTGGTTTTTTTTGAGACGTTTTTGCTATAGGGCGCGTGTGCTCGCCAGCCAGACAGAGAGAGACAGAGGGACAGAAAGCGAGAAATCACCCCCCGGGGGAATGGCCACACCGCAATCCCTTCTCCTCCATTCTCCTCTTGGGATCTTGGGCACGCACGCACACGCGCCCGACGTGAGTTTTAAGCCACCGGGTCCGGGACGCAAACCATGGTCGCCTACATGGGAGTCCAGCAACATAGCCATTACGCTAACTGCTGGTCCCAGACTCTACCCATATTCTAAAATACATTTTTTACTGTTTCTTAGGTTAATACATTCTGAAAAAAGGACATTACTTGGTAGCTCAGGCACAAAGAAAAGGATTATAATCTTCTTGTTCTTTCCAAGATGTCTGTGTTCTAAATAAGGCAAGAGTCAATGGGGGAAATTCTGCTTTCAGTGCCAGACAACTCCTGACCTACACTGACTGTACTCGCCTTCATGCAAAGAATGGTCTTGCTGTGGCCCTCCAGAGTCCGGAGAAGCAGTCCATTCCTCGCATCACGCACACTAATGGTACAGTCATAAGATCCCACAACCAGCAGCCTTCTGGCACCTTCCTGAGCTGTTGCAAGACAGCTGACTGCCCGAGGGCCGTGGCATTCGAAGATTTCAAGTCGTTTGTTGTTCTGAAAAATAAGACACTTTCATCTGAAATAAAAGCAATTTAGATATGGAAGACCCCACAATCAACTAACTGAAATCTCCACCTTGGTACCAACTCTCAATTCCATGACCTGCACTCAAATTCTCACGCCCACCCACATCCTTCACTTCACCCACATCCGTCCTTTGCCATTCCCATTCTACCCTTCTTTGCCGTGTTCACAGCCTCCCTGTCTCCTGACCTGGGAAAGTGAGGGCCAATTCTTATGTTACAAACGAATTTATACTCTCATACAATTTATATGCCATAGACCAGGAACTCTTCTACTGTTTTGCTCATCCAAAATTTATGCAAGCTATTTCTCCTGCTATTTCTAAAAGCCTCTAATAGGAACTGTCTTCCTAGACAATTTCAATTAGTCTCACATTCTCTTTGCCTCTCTGTATTATGCTGATGTTTTTCTGACTACTGGATTCTATGTCATCTCTCATGACATCTAGTGGACTACAGAAGCTCATAGGTCATACCCTGAATTCCAAACAATTCTTTTCAATTAAAAAAAAAATTTCCAGAGGGTGTGCTCGCTCACTAGACAGAGAGAAAGAGAAAATACCCTCGACTCCCATGGGGTGAGATTACATTGCAATCTCTTATCCTCCATTTCTCCACCCAGTTGAAATTTAAGACAGGCATGCATGCATAGGCACCTAGAGTGAGCCATCCGCCTTAACCACTGAGCTAGCTGGCTGGCCTGAGATAACCTCTTTCACCCACTCCCTTCTCTTCATCCTTATTCTAAAGTTTCAGGTCATCTTCCATCACAAAGCCTCCTAAATGGTCGTCCTGCCACTACTAACAGCAATCTTTCCTAATCTCTTCTGTTTCACAGTGACTCTTTTCCCCCCTAAAATACAAATTGGATCATGTCCGTTACACTCTAAAGCATGTAAGATGAAGCCCAACTATCTTAACAAAAAACATATGCCATTAAGAACTTCCTAACCTTATCCAGGGGGCTAGCAAATAACAGATATTCAATAAAGGTTTGCTCAGAAAATTAATTTATCTTTCTGTTAGGGAAGAATGAGGCCATGTGGTGTTAAGGCAAACCTCTTAGTTCACCTTGGAGAATGGGCCGCCCTCATGAAACACTAAATCAGCTCCAACCACACCAATGTCACACTCAAAGGAGATTACGTTCATTTTTCATGGTGTCATTCTTATAATGAGATAAACTGGTTTAACCTGTGACTCATCATTTGGCCCCAAATCTTCAGGCATGGTTTAATTTAGCAGAGTTACATTTTGGTCCTGGCATGTCTGAATGTAAGCAAGACAGAATGGAGGATCTTGTTTCACTTACAGAAGATAACAGCTATTGAGCAGCAGCTAATTCTGTTGAGGCTTCACATAAGAAATCAGAAGAATGCCTGCTTGCTACTTCTTCCCTTCTCTCTCTCTTTCTCTCTCTCTCTCTCTCACACACACACACACACACACACACACACACACACACTCTCTTTTTCAAGAGGCATGGGAATTCTGCCTTCATCCAACCACTAACCTTAAAGGTGACCACAGTGCCATTAGCCAGTCCTGCATAGAGAATTCGCCATCTATTATGGAGGCAGAGAACTCGATCTTCCAGTTGCAACTCCTCCACACACTCTCGGGTCTGATAAAAGTACACAATATCTAATCAGCAGAGGGGAGAGTCAAATGAGATGCAAAAACATTTCCTCCTGGAAGCAGAGTTTAAAATATGGGGTTCTCTACTTTAGAGAGGACTATCTTAAGTCTTTTTCCCCTTTGAAATATGAGGCCAAAGACCCCTGAGCTGAAAGTAATACTAAAAACAAATATGAATCCTAAAAATGTTACCCGTGTTTCTAATTTCGAATATAGAAATTCTTCAAAGGGGTGAGCTGGTCTTAGCCTCTTAAGTGGCCAAAGATAAAAGTTAAGGCCAAAGATAAAAGATATATGAAATCTAAAAAGGAAAATGCGGATTATAGTTGTATATTTGATAAACACATTAATCAAGTATAGATCTTCCTGGACTTATGTCTATTTCAATAGCTCCCAAATGACTCCTTCAAACTGGTACCAGGTTAACTGGGCCATAAATACCCAGGAAGCTATGTACCCACCTAATATATACTGAACGTCTGCACTCTATGGCAAAAACTCAAAGACTGGAGGGTACAAAAGCAGAAGTGGCAACTGTAGATACTAGAAACAATATAGGAGGGAACGGTAAGTGGAGAGCAGGAGAGGGGGACTTCAGGGGGAGAAAGAACATTTTATAGACATAAAAACAAAAAGGTATCTGCTAGTGTTAATGTGTACAGTAATGTCTTGGACTGAACTATATTCACGCTGGGAAAAATTCTGTATGCTGTAAGGATGTACAGGGATCGAATGTAAATATAATTAATTAATTATTTTTAAAAATATACAGGAAGCTTTTAAAAACACAGTCTTCCCTTGGTATCCATGGTTGCTCAAGTTCTTTACAGTCAGCCCTCTATATATGTGGGTTCGACCTCAGTGGATATGGAGGACATTTGATCTGTGGATACATGCCCTGGAGATTCAAAGAGCTGACTACATTCTCCGACTAGAAGTCTATTTGCCAGACACTAACATAATCACTCCAGCTCTTTGTTACTATTAGCATGGTATTTTCTTCATTCTTCTCCTTTCAACTAACTGTGTCTTTGAATTCAAAGTCTCTCTTGTAGAAGGCACAGATTTCTTTTTAAATAGTAAAAAGAGGTTCTATTCAACAATGACATGGGGACCAGCAGTTAGTATAATGGCTATGTCACTGAACTCCCATGTAGTCGACCACAGTTCAAGTCTCGGACCCAGTGGCTTAAACTCATGCCAGGTGCATGTGCGTGCATGCCCAAGATCCCGAGAGGATTGCGGCATGGCCATCCCCCCTCGGGGAAGATTTCTTGCTTTCTGTCTCTCTAGAGAGCACACGCGCCCTGTAACAAAATCCTCTCCCAAAAAAAAGAACAACATGGAAAGAGATCTCAGTATAGAACTGGGCTCCACTCCAAATAAAGCATGGACAAATGAGGATTTACAGCCGAGGAACAGAGGCAGGGTCCTGAAATAGCACCAGTGGGTGGGAAATTACCAAGAGGACACATCAAGGATGGGAGATTCTGGTTAAACAAACCTTAAGAGTGTAGATGTACATGTTACTTCTTTTTTTTTTTTGGAGAGGTTTGTGCTATAGGGCGTGTACGCTCACCAGAAAGACAGACAGAGAGAGACAGAGAGACAGAAAGCGAGAAATCACCCTCCAGGGGGGATGGCCACACCGCAATCCCTTCTCTCAGGATCTTGGGCATACATGCACACATGCCTGGCGTGAGTTTAAGCCGTCGGATCCGGGACTCAAATTGCGGTTGGCTACATGGGAGTTCAGCGACACAGCCATTACGCTAACTGCTGGTCCCTACATGTTACTTCTTTATCCAAACAATCCCTGCCTTTTGATTTTAGTGTTAGTTCATTCATATTTAATATTCTCTCTTTTTTTTTAAGAGAGATTTTTGCTATAGGGCACATGTGCTTGCCAGAGAGACAAAGACAGAAAACAAGAAACTACCCCCACAGGGGGTATGGCCACGTCACAATCACTTCTCCACCATTCTCCTCTTGGGATTTTTGGGCATGCATGCACTTGTTCCTGACATGAGTTTTAAGTTACCAGGTTCAGGACTTGAACCGCAGTCGACTGCATGGGAGTCCAACGTAACCATTAAGCCATCTGCTGTTCCCAATAACTATTAAATATAGTTAGACTTAGGTCTTTGAGTTTTTTTATTCTATTTATTTCAATTTTATTGCTCTATTCCTTCTTCTACCTTGTTTTGTATTTCAAAAGCAAAAAAGGGAGAAAGTCAAGTGGGTAGATTGAAGTATCTACTGTAATCTCCATTCTACACCGTAAAAACAGTCAAAGACTGCTCCACATTATTACTCTGAATGTCTCTGGACTCACTTACCTTAACATTATAGCAGCGGATGGTGTGATCACTGGAACCAGTGTAAAGGTCAGCATTCTTCCTGGAGTTCTGAGTAACCAGGAGGCAGTTCACTTTGGATGTATGGCCCTCAAAGACACCAATACACTTCCGACTCTAAAGTCAAGTACAGATCAGATTAGTACTTACAGGCTACAGAAGGATTTAATCATGCATTTCCTCAACAAGAAGATGCTAAACCATTCAGTTCAGTTCACTGCTATTATCATTAGTGCCTAGAATAGTGCCTGGTATGCAAGAGGTGTTTCACACGTATTTGTTCACTGAATGCCTAGCAAGGTAGTAAGGTACCTGCAACTTTATTAGCTTTACCATACAAAAAAGTACTTAGGGCAAATCCTCTAAGATAAACCAGAATTTTTAATTAATGCTTAGGGCAAGACATTCCAACACACAACATGCAGACCGAGGACCTAGTAAATCCAAACTGTGGCTAGCTAATTATCCAGAAATGTTGTGCAATCAGTCAGTGGCTTGTGAGAATGCTCCACATCATTCAGAAATGTGTCAGGTGCTATCATAGATCCTAGAGGTCCAGACGTGGTTTTATAAGAAGATATCCCAAATGTTATCCCTATGCAAATACTGAGATCTATTTAGAATGTACACATATACATATGCAAATATATATTGGAATTCAGAGTTAGACGCGAAGCCCCTAGCTCTTACGCTTACACTTCCTGGTACCATTGTTTTCTTCCTTCAGTCATCCCTACGACTCCTCTTATCACCAGGCTACAGGAACATACCTGTTGCCTAGAGCAAACACATTCTCCTGCTCCATCACCTAACTTTAACTTTCAACCACCCTGGCAATGCTAAGTGTGATGCCTGTTCAGAGGACACGGTGTTTCTAAGGTTTCTTGGCTACCAACATTGGTAAAAATAATTAATTTGATGTGTCAAATTCAAAACAAAAAATTCTTTTGAAGGTGATGAGCGTTAGATTACACTAAAGTGTGAGAGACTAGAAAAATGTTGCTCTCCTTAATCACGTGGATTCTGTAATTATTTATCAGAGAAAAATGCCTTCTCTAATACTTCTGTAACACTTATTCCATCCATCCTTTACTGAACTCGCTGAGGCTGGGGTGGAACACAGTGTCAGGAACCCATTGAGGGTGCTGTTTCTCTCTCTCTTACTCATGAAAGAGATAAACATCCTTTATGTCACCAACACCATCATCGACCCCCAGGGGTGGGACCTGACTGGCCCAAGTCTATTGGCTGCAATGCCATTCTTTGCCACAGGTCACTGTTCAGGGAATAAAGCACAGGACCCTTTTCTGGTGAAGGGAGGGAAAAGAAATCCCAGTGGCTCCTATACTATCTATCTTATAAGCAGGAAGAGAACTAGGTTTTAAGAGAAAGTTATGCCAGGCAGAGTCAAGACAGAAAGAAATTGGGTCCCCAGTGACCCTGCTGGATCAAGTACCTTTAAAGCAGTCTAAGCCTACCACTTCCTCTAATAGAAAACAAATTCCCCTAATTGCATAAGAGAGCATGGGTATGATTTTCTAAAACCTGTAATCAAAAAAAACACAAGATGTTACACTGACTTACCACCAGATTATAAACGCGGACAGTTTTATCTGCTGAGCAGGTATACAGTAAATTCCCAAATATCTGAATTGCATTCACGGCAGCTTGGTGTCCCTCAAAGCTTCCTTCTGTAGGATCATCATCCTCTCCTGGCTCTGAAGATATTTCTAGGAAACAAGAATAGGTTTCAGAGACATCTGCTAGAGTCTAAAAAGATACTTAAAACTGTGAAGATTCTGTTGTTGGTGCCTGGCCCTCTTCCTCTCTCGAAAAACAAACAAACAAACAAACAAACAAAAACAAAAAAAGAAAAAGAAAAGAAAGAAAGAGCCAGCAGGTGGTATAGTAGTTAAGGTGCTGAACTCCCAAATGACTGATGTGTTTAGATTTCTGGACCTGGCGTCTTGTTTTCTCACTTTCCTTCTGTCTCTCTCTGGTCAAATTAAAATATAATAATAATAATAATAATAATAAATATAAATAAATAAATAATTCTTTTTTAAAAAAGGAAATAGATTTTAAAAAATAAAAAAGGGGGTTGAACAGTCGCACAGCAGTAGAACATGACACTCTGCAAGGCTGACCCCATGAGAAGGTTCTAGGTTTGCATCCAGAGACCTCCCTGGGAAGGCCAGACACATGCATGCTCATGATGTGGGGCTCGCTGAGGCTGGGGTGGAATGCAGTGTCAGGACCCCATTGAGGGTGCTGTTTCTCTCTCTCTCTTACTCATGGAAGAGATAAATACGCTAAAAAAAAAAAAAATTAAAACCATTATATAAAATAGTGGTCTGCATTAACCCAAAAGACCTCCTTAAAGCCTAGTTCCCCTGGCACAATACTATCATTTTCATTAAAGATTTTCTCTATGATGATTCCAGAGAAGCCTGGTGGATCAGCAGTTGGCATAATGGCTGTATCACTGGACTCCCATGTCGTCTACTGTGGTTTGCGTCCCAGACCCGGTGGCTTAAACTCACGCCAGGTTCGTGTGCATGCATGCCCAAGATCCCAAGACGAGAATGGAGAAGAAGGGATTGCGGCATGGCCATCCCCCCTGAGGGGTGATTTCTCACTTTCTATCTCTCTCCGTCTTTCTGGCGAGCACACATGCCATATAGCAAAAACCTTTCCCCCTCAAAAAAAAGAGAGAGAGAGAAGGCTGGGAAGACCTTTCCCTCCCTTAAAAAGACAGATACTTATGGGAACCTGCAGTTAGCATAATGGCTATGTCACTGGACTCCCATGCAGTCGGCCGCGGTTTGCATCCCGGACCCGGTGGCTTAAAACTCACGCTGGGCGCGTGTGCGTGCGTGCCCAAGATCCTGAGAGGAAAATGGAGGAGAAGGGATTGTGGCGTGACCATCCCCCCTGGGGGGTGATTTCTCCCTTTCTGTCTCTATGTCTCTCTCTGTCTGGCGAGCGCACGTGCCCTATAGCGAAAACCTCTCCAAAAAAATAAATAAATAAAAGATAGATACTTAAATTATAAGCTTCTGAGTAATACATGGAAAGTACCCAGTATCTCTCTTCATTATCTCCCCTCCTAGTTATTTGAGAAAGGCATTCTATTTTTAAATTTTTTCTGCTATATGGTGTGTGAGCTTGCTAGAGAACATGAGACAGACAGAAAGAGGAAAAGTGAGAAATTACCCCTCAGAGGAGATGGTCATGCTGTAATCCCTTCTCTTCCATTCTCCTCTCAGGATTTTCGGCACGCATGCACATGATGTGCCCAGTGTAATGGGTCCAGGATTTTAACTGCAAAGTTGGCCTTGTGAGATTCAGCCTCCTTAACCTCCATACCACCTGCTGGGCCTTTCCCTTCCTTTTTTAGTTTGCTGTAGGGAGCATGTGCTCGTGAGGGAGTGGTGGAGGTGAGAAATCACCTCCCAGGAGAGATGGCTACCCTGCAATCTTTTTGTTTTCTCTTGGGATTTTTGGGCATGCATACATATTCACCTGGTGTGATTTTCAAGTCACCAGGTCTAGGCCTTGAATCGCAGAGCAGTCACATGGGATTCAAGCACCTTAACCTTATGCCACCTTCTGGCCCAGTATTCTTTTTTAAAGTAGTTCCTTCTAAAAGCAAAAATCCCTGGAACCAGTGAAATCTTAATACTAATCTGAACAGATGAGGGAGCCAAGGTAAGAGATAGGAATAAAAAACTGAAAAAGTCAGGATCTGAGATTTAGGGATATCCTAACTACAATCAAGGCAATCCTCTTGATCATAAATCACTCTGCCACCAATCTGTAAACATTTAAGTAGATTTAAACACTGACTCTAATATTTACAAGTTTTTTTCTGTAGTTAATTTTATTTTTAAAGAATTATTTATTTTATTTTATTCATTATTACTCTTCTTTAGAGAGGCAGAGGGAGGGAGAGTAAGAAAGCATGCTGCCAGGTCCAGGACTTGAGCTGCGGTCGGCCATGTGGGAGTCCAGCACCTTACGCACCACACCACCTGCTAGCCCCTCTATCATTAATTTAAATAAAACTGAACAATCAAATACCTGAAGAATTCTTTGGTCCTTTTAAGGCGGAGATCACGGTCTGAGTTTCTGCCACACTACAAAACAATAGCAAAAGTCTTCTTAGATCTGCATGAGCAGGACAGGTTGTAAAACTAAACATTTTCAAATTCAAAGGTCTTTAGCAACAATAAGCAAAGAAGGAGTGATGTGAGATCAGTTTTTTCTTTTTTCCATCTGACATTCATATTAAGAGATATAAAAGTAGAGTGCATATTTATGACATAGAAAAAGCAGAAAATCTCCACTGCTATGGTTTGATTCTTCCATATCCATTATCCATATTCCATGTTTGTCTGTGTTAACAAAATCTTATTCATAACTACTTTTGTAAAAAAAAAAAAAAAAAGCTTGGGGGGGACCAGCCGTTGGTGTAATGGCTATGTCACTGGACTCCCATGTAGTTGACCGCGGTTCGAGTCCTGGACCTGGTGGCTTAAACTCACACCGGGTGCTTGTGCGTGTTTGCCCAAGATTCCGAGAGGAAAAGGGACTGTGGTGTGGTCATCCCCGCTGGGAGGTGGTTTCTCGCTTTCTGTCTCTTTGTCTTTCTAGTGAGCACACACACCCTGTAGCAAACCCCCCCCCCTTAAAAAAAGAAGTTTGGTGTAAATTGTTCTGATCGGACCAATACAACACCCTTACCTTACAGGTACGCCATCCTTGTTGCGAGTGCCAATTTCACTGGTAGAGCTAACTTCATCACAGCCAGAACGAGAAGTTTCTGGTGGGTTTTGCTCTGTAGAGTTCCAAATATCCTTTTTAGATGGGCTGTCTGGTTTCTCTTCTCCAGATTCAGAAGAATCGATGGCTACTACCTCTAACTGAGGGTTAGGAATTTCTAGGACTTCCAGGGACGAGTCACTGTCTGGCTCATCTCTGGCACTCTCCTGCTCCCGACTGGTTCTGTCTTCCCAGGTGGAGGTTGTTACTTTCCCCCCTTTAGTTAACTTTCCAATTTTCACTTTTCTTACAGGTTTAGCAGTAATCACATCCTGTTCAGTGTCGCTATTCTCAGGAACGTGGGCAGCTCGCAGAGTTTTCTTCTTGCGAAGTTTCTTCTTTTTCTTGTTTCCCCTACTTTCGGCTGATGTCAGAGTAGATTCTGCCTGTTGCTCAGGCTGGTCAGCTGGAGAGTGGGGTTCTTTCTCCAAAGGGGTTTCTGAAGCAAAAGACAATCTTAGAAAAGAACTGGTACAAGCTTCAGACCCACTGTTGCCTTTGCTTGGCTCTTCACCCTCTTTATTTACACTAGGAAGACCGGATGATGGGGAAGAGGGAGCGTTTTCTCTGTTTCTGGTATTCCCTTGCTCCTCACCAAACTTCGATTCTTGGCTAGGCTCATGGACACTTTCTGTTAGCTCTGACAAAGATGATGTTGCAGCAATGACTGGATACACTGGACAACTGTCACTCATCTCTCCTGAATTGAGAAGGAAAAAATTATTGCATCTTTTTCTGTGTTTGCTGTTTATAGTCATGAACTGCAAATTATTCATCACTGATGGAATCTCCACCAAATAGTTCACCAATATGATCACTGAGCTACGACTGTTACAGCTGTCCTCTCATCCCTCAGTCTCTCATAACCTACACACATTCCTGACAGCACTTATTACCCTTTGCCTCGCGTTAATCTCACTATATATGCAAGTTTTACTCCCTACAAAAGCTCCCTGTGGGTTCAGATTGTTTCTAATGATTTTTCCCATGTTTTAAATGTTCGCATATTCAACATTCATTTTTATTCTTAGTAGACACTTAACGATCTACTTAGCTGAAGCATTTTACTCTTATTTTTAATTGTCAGAGGTTCTTGAGCTTGCCAGAGAGAGACAGAGAGAGGGGGAGAGGGAGAAAGTACCCCCCAGTGGGGTGTGGTCATGCCGCAATCCCTTCTTCTCCATTTCTGCATCCTGTTATGATTTTGAGTGCACACACACACACACACACACACACACACACGTTTTTCAAGCCACTAGGGTGGGGACCCAAATTGCATGGCCATATGGGATCCAGTTCCCTTAACCACTAGGCCACGAGGTCTGCCCATCACTTTTATTTCTTGTAAGTTTTCATTATACACTATACCCACATGTCATCAAATTTAGCTATACACTAGTAGTAAAAATGACTTAAAAACGCCCGCTTTCTTTGACTTGGTTATTTCATGTCTAGGAATTTAAACTGATGAAATAATCACAGATGTACTCAAAGACATACACAATATAGTTATACAAAATATTAAAAAAGTAGGAAAAAACTAAATATTCAAAAAATTTATTATATAAATTATTATATTCCAGATTATGCAACTATTCAAATATTATACAACCAGTAAAATAAAAAATACTTTGGATAAATTATTTTTGTGACACACACAAAAAAAGACCATGATATATTAAGTAAAAAAAGTCAGGTTATAATAGACTGATTTTCTCCTTGTATAAAGTCAACATGTGAACACACAAACACAATTTAAGAAAGACACAAATAATATATAACAAAAAATATCTGTATTTATGGAGTTTCCCAGTTTTTTACAATAAATGTGAATTCTTTAACAATCAGAAAAAGAAATCTAATTTAAAAAATTGGTTTTCAAACAATTAGCTTATAAAGTCAACTATAGGTTGAGTATCCCTTATCTGAAATGCTTGGACCAAGTGTTTCACATTTTAAGACTTTTTGGATTTGGGAATATTTGCAAATACATAGTGAGATACCTTGGGGATGGGACTCAAATTTAAACATGAAATTTATTTATGCTCATGAATACCTTATACAGATAGCCTAAAGTTAATTTTACACAATACTTTGGAATTACAGTGTTTTGACTATAATCCTATCAGGTCAGATGCAGGACTTTATATTGTGGTATATGTCAATGCTCAAAATGTTTCAGATTTTGCATCATTTTGGATTTTTGGACTAGGGATGCTCAACCTGTATAATATTTCATTATTATTATTATTACTACTTTTTTTTTTAATCCTGAATACTATACACATAGAAGTAACTTAAAATTCAATATATAGCTAGGTACAGTGGTGCATGCCTATAATCCCAGCTAGTCAGGAGGCTGAGGCAGAAGGATCACAAGTTCAAGGCCAGCATGGGCAACTATAGTGAGAAATTGACTCTCAAAAAAAAATTATGAAAGATAATATACATTTGCTATGTGGTTATGCAAACTTCCAAGAGGACCTTCAATGGCTTAGAAGTTATTCCCAAATGTTAAACAGGTGAATGTGATTCTATGAAAAGAGTTACGCCCTAGCTATTTCTCAAAACTACCCAATTTCCTATTAAATGATTCCCAATCCCATAGTCCTCTGCCTTCCATCATGGCCACCTGCCTCTCAGGCTTATATTAGTCCTCACTTTTATTTGAGAAGATAACCATAGTTAAACAATGAGAAACTCAGAGGATTACCTCACCTAGAACATTAACTGAACAACCAGAACGCTATTTAAAAATATATATATTCCATATCTATCCTAATAAACAGGACCTTATAGGTGTTAATACAAAGTCATCTCAATATCACTAGGTTAGAGAAAATCAGGGAAAAATTTGCTAAATTATACTCTGAAATATTTTAAGATAGTTTTCCTAGACGAAGGGAATTTCAATGAAAAAGTAATTCTAATAATTTAAATTTTAATGGTAAGTATGGCTTTATATCACTGCTATAAAACTGTCCTAGTCCCACTGCAGGGATGCCCATAACCCAGAGAAAAGCTTACATACTATTTGCTTGCAGTAATTCCTTAGACACACTGCAAGCAGAGCCTTGTGACACAGCATTCACATTCTCATCTTGTTCAGGAGACATGGGCTCTTGTTTAATCTGAATCGATGAGTCTGGAGCAGGGATACTGCCATGGCCTTGGAAAGTAGATGTGGTTACTTGGAGAGGGGCTCCAGTGGATGAGGGAGATACATGGGAAGATGGAGGCTCCAGAAAAACTGGTAAAAATGGAGTAGGCAGCAGTGAGGCATCGGCAGATGTTTGAGATCTACTGTTTCTTTGTTCTCGTGTGAGGCTACAAGGAATCTGGTCTGGGTGCTCAGAAGGTTCATATGTCTCTAGAATGGGAAACACAAAGTACAAATGCAAAGCTGTTATCTGCAAAGTCACTCATTTCTGAGCCAATTATGTATTTAAAAATTATAAGAGAATTGAAAATTAATAAATGTACTGGTATAGCCTTTTGTCATTTTTCAAAATGGAATGTCACATAACCTATACAACCACCAACACTAAAATCAGAACAGGCACCAACATTCTAGTTTTTCAAATTTTAAGTGATTTATCCCAACTCAAGAAAGATCCAAGATTTGAACCCAGGTCTTTTGATTCCTAACCAAATCTCTTTCTATAATGTTTGATTTCCTTGGCTAAATATTTCAGGGAGATGTGTATACACACACACACACACGTTTATTCCTTTTTAAAAAAATACTAATGTTTAATTTTAGAATTTGTTATTATTATTTATTTTTAAAATTTTGTCAGAGAGACAGAGTGCGGGAGAAAGGGAAAGTGAGAAAGCAAGCCGCCAGGTCTGGGACTCGAACCATGGTTAGCCATGTGGGAGTCCAGTTCCTCAACCACACCACCCACTGGCTCCGTGTACTCCTTTCTATGAAAAGACTGTGTCTCATAAAAACCAAGGGGAGGGACCAGCAGTTAGCATAATGGTTATGTCGCTGGACTCCCATGTAGTTGATCACGGTTCGCATCCCAGACCCGGTGGCTTAAAACTCATGCCAGGCACGTGTGCATGCGTGCCAAAGATCCCAAGAGGAGAATGGAAGAGAAGGGATTGCGGCATGGCCATCCCCCCTGGGGGGTGATTTCTCGCTTTCTGTCTGTCTGGCGAGTGCACGCGCCCTATAGCAAAAAAATCTCTTAAAAAAAAAAAAAACAAGGGGACAGGTAAGCAATTACATGATCTTTTCATACTATTTTCAATTCCCCTCTATAGAGAACAAAAAGTAATAAGCTACAGAGTCTAATCCATCAGATGCCCTCTGAATACCTTGTAATCCCTGCAGAATCTGTATTCTATGTGTCCTCAGTGCACTCATCTCCATAGTTATCTAAAAATAAAGTATTTTGTTAAGCATTTTGAAATGCAACTTCCGAGGCAACTCATCTTTATTAAATCTTCCCATGTGTTGTTACCTGCTGCTTGAGCATAAGTAGCCTCTGAACTTCAACATAAGCTGTCTGAAGTGCTGCCCGGGCTTGCAGAAGGTTGTTATCCATGCACTGCAAGGATTTACTTAGTTCTTCTTCCCTTAGAGAAATATTCAGCAGCTGGTCAACCTGAGAACGTTCTGCCAAAACAAAACAAAAACCAATAGGATGATTCAGCTTAATAATGGAGACTTCATTTTCATAACACAACTTTTCAGTAGCTTGATACACCAACTATGAAAGAAATTCTTTATTCTCTCCTCAGTAGGTTACTGGGGACTCCTCGGCTCTCTCAACACACGTCACCAAGCCTTACCATGGCAAAGCTAAAAACCAAAAGTTACCTGGTAAAGATGGAGGTGTCTCCTAGGTCCGAGTGTACCACCACACCTGATTTCCATCTTTCACCACCACCTTTCCAGGTGAAATCTCTGTCCCAGGCAAATCAACTATGCTAAGTTTAATTTCCCACCTTCCTTTGTCTACTATCCTCTTCGCCAGAGCTTCTGCTTAGATTGGGACCAGATGGTTAAGTCCAGTGCCTTTAACCATCACGCCACCTGCTGGATTCCAAAGGAGCTCTATATATAAGAGCAGGCTTCCTGAAAATACAGCTTTGAAATAGTATGTATGGGCCAGCTCTGTGGCCTGGTGGTTAAGGCAACAAATCCTACATGGCTGAACCCTTGGTTCAAGTTCCAGACCTGGTGATAAGAAACACGCTGGGCCTGTGTACATGTGTGCCCAAAATCTCAAAAGGAGGAAGAGATGGAGCAGAAGGGATTGTGGTGTGATCATACCCTGTGGTGGGTGCTTTCTCCTCTCTCTGGAGAGGACATGTCTGCTCTAGCATTAAGTAAGTAATCTTTTTTTTTTTTTTTTTAAAGAAATAGTACATATAACTTACTTAAAATAAAATGTTCTATTATGTGTATGTTTATCTTCTTCATGTTTGTATTTTTCCCATTCAATGTAACAAAGTGTCTCCCCCAAACTTCAGATCTATATACTCAACTATCAACTATGACATTTCTACCTGGGGGCTTCAAAGGTCTTTTAAGCTGAAGGATTGAAAAGGTAACTCTCTTGGGGTCAGTAGGTGATGCAGTGGTTAAGGTGCTATACTCCCACATGGTCGACCACAGTTCAAGTCCAGGACCTGGGGGGCTTGCTTTCTTTCTTTCCCTTTCTCTGTCTCTCTCTAGTGGAAAGAAAAGGGAACTCTCATCTTTCACTGCCCTCAATCTGCTCTCTCTCTCCAGCTATACAAACAATATCGTCATCCACATGTTGCCCCAGCCAACTCCTTCACTCCTCCCTTGTCTATCACACCCAGTCACCCAAGGCTCCCCTAATCACGTCCTGCACTAGCCCTCACAGTAGAACTGGGTTAAACCAATAGAAACTGAGAGTCATAGAAGCAGATCAATGAAGGAGCAACATTAATAACTTCTCCCCTTAACTCACATTAGAAAAGCAACCAAGATGCTTCAATGCAGATAAATGACCAAGAAAGACAAACATTTTACTATATGGCTTGTTCTTAATCCCACTGAGAAGGCCCAATGAGACTTCCTGGCCTTGAAATGACTGAGAGAGAACTTTAGTGCACAGGTCTATGTGGCATAATGTATTTCTTCTATAGCTGTAATTGAATGTGTAACAGTAGAAAATCATACTTTTCTCTGCCTTTAAGCAAGACCACAATAATGGGTTAAAAGAAAAATAAATAAATAAAACAGATGATTACTGTTCAATAACCACAATCTATGCTGTGTCAAGTTGTAAAAAGGCTGAACTGCTGTAACTTCTTTCTACCAGAATATTCCATACCATACCTTTCTTTCCTTTAATTTTTCTTCTTTTATTTTTCCTCTCAAGACTTGGGAGTTCAGGAGAAGATCCATCCTGAGGGATAGAGAAAACGAAATGATATTAAATATATAAAGGCCAGTTTCTATGAGAAGAATCAATACTAAGATGACCATATATTGGGACCAGCAGATGGCATAACGGTTACGTTGTTGGACTCCCACATGGCCAACTGCAGTTTGAGTCCTGGACCCAGAGGCTTGTAACTCATGCCGGGCACACATGTGTGCATGCCCAAAATCCCAAGAGGAGAAGGGATTGTGGTGTGGTCATCCCCCAGGGCAGTGATTCTTATTCTCTGTCTCTCTGGCAAGCACACATGCCTTATAGCAAAAATTTCTCTAAAAAGAAAAGATGACCATACATTGTTCTTTATTCCTCCTCCTACCATCGCTACCATGCACATACTCAAATGTATCTGATCAAAAGGAAGAAAAAGAATCCAAGGCCAAATGCCTTCCTACTATCCTCAAGGTGCTAAAGCTCCCTGGGCTTGGGCAAAGCATTCTACCTTAGTGAAGCAAGACATGGATGGAGGGACAAAGCATAATAACACATACCTCTACTTTTTTTTGGGGGGCGGGGGGGACAGGTTTTTGCTCTAGGGAGCATGCACTCGCCAGAAAGACAGAGAGAGACAGAGAGACAGAAAGTGAGAAATCACCCCCCCAGGGGGAATGGCCATGCCGCAATCCCTTCTCCCCTATTCTCCTCTTGGGATCTTGGGCACGCACGCACATGCACCCGGCGTGAGTTTAAGCCACCAGGTCCGGGACTCTAACCACGGTCAACTACATGGCAGTTCAGCGACATAGCCATTACGCTGACTGCTGGTCCCCATACCTCTACTTTTATCTTGGGATAGTTTCTACTTTAAATTTCAGTTCAACATAAAGCTAAACATCTATGAGAACCAGCAGGTGGCATAAGAGTTATGTTTCTGGACTCCCACATGACCAACCACATAGTTCAAGTCCTGGACTCAGCAGTTTGAAACTCATGCTGGGCACCTGTGTGTACATGCCCAAAATCCCAAGAGGAGAAGGGATAGTGGCATGGCCATACCCCCAGGGGGGTGATTTCTCGCTTTCTGTCTGTCTCTCTGTCTTTACAACAAGCCATGTGCCCTAAACAACAACAAAAAATCTCTCAAAAAAAAAAAAAAATCTGGGACCTGCAGATGGTATGGTGGTTAAGGGCGCTGGACTCCCACATGACCGACTGTGGTTCGAGTCCTGAACCTGACGCCTTGCTTTCTCACTTTCCCTTTCTCTGTTTCTCTGGTTGAATTTTTTTTTAATTAATTTAATTAAACTAATAAATAATTGGGAGGAGGCCCATCTATGAGACAAACCCTGAGATATTACCTTCCTCATAGGATAATCCTTCAGCGTGAAGTAAGTGTATTTCAAATCATCCAACAGTATCTACTAAGTAGTGCAAAAGAACTGAGCTGGAATTTGAAGTAGCTCTAAAATGTATGCTCTTAACTACTCTGTTTACTGCTTCTATAAAAGAAAGAAGCCATTTTCTCACAGAGTCAGAGTCCAGACTATGTCACCACCAGCAACCCTTTCTTTTCTGAAAGGAATCTTGAGAGGGTTAAGCAATATTAGCAACAGAAATGCCAGGAAAGCAGATGTGGTATCAATGAAGAGATGATTCTTAAAAGGCCAGCTGCATAACTGAAGGACATGAGGCAGACTTATAGACTAAGTAAAATATTTCTGTACTATGCTCATATAAATGCACTCTTAACGGCTATGCCTAGCAGCTCTGAATTCAACAATCAGCATGCCCTACAAATGCAACAGTAAAATGCCATTCTTCAGCAGCAGTACAGAATGCTGCTATGAAAACAGATCAAGTTATAGATGAAGATGTGACTTATCCTTGGTTAGGTGATACAAAGAATCATTGGCTTAAAGACTAGTTTTAGAATGACTCAATATTTTCCTGATACTGTACACTCTTATTAAATTACAACTTAAATGGTAGAATTACTCAGTGAAAGAAACCCACAAGACAAAAGTACAGATATCTGGGACCAGCAGATGGCACAGTGGCTATGTCACTGGACCCCCACATAGGTGATTATAGTATAAGTCCCAGACCTAGAGGTTTTAAACTTATGCTGGGTGTGTGTGTGCCCAAAATCCTGAGAGGAGAATGAAGAGGGGATTGAAATGTGACCATCCCCACTATGGGGTGATTTCTCGATTTCTGTTTCTGCCTCTGTCTGGCAAACGCACATGCCCTATAGCAAAAATCTCTCTTAAAAAAAAAAAAAAAAGTACAGATACCCCCAGAAAAATTAGTTAAAACCTTTGTTTACAGACAACCAAATTGCCACCAAGCACAGAGAATCATACTCACCCCAGTGGCTCTTCGTTTCTTTCGAATACACTGGCCATCATTTTGTTCAGCACCAGAGGTACAGCTACTATCTGTGGCTGCATCTGCTAAACTGGAGACAGCAAGGGCTGAGGATGTATTTGATGACAGCGAGTTTCCTTCTCCATTACTCTCCTGAGAATTCTGATTCTCTGAAGATGGCGTAGATCTCTCTTGGCTGCTCAGGTCTTTTGCTGAATGCATCAGGGGTATTAAACGGTCAGAAGGTAATAGCTGTGTACTATGTCGCCTCCGGATAAAAACATCTTCAGCCCCTTCGCCTGTTCTGAGGGAGGCAGCCAGAGGTGTCCCTTCCTGTTTAAGGGTCATCGCTGCTTTTTGGTTCTGTACAGACCTCAGTGAGTTACTAGGTGAGTCAAACTGCTGGTGCTCATTTTCTTGGGCTGTGCCTTCTTCGCTGAAGAAGCTGTACACCGAAGGAGCCCTGTCCATGATGACGCTGCTCTCAGAAAGGCTTCGCTTCCTTGCCAACCCAGGGGATGAGGAAATAGAAATACCTTCCCACTGGAATCCTTCTAGACTGGGCAGATCAGGCTCTGCATCCAAATCTAAGACCTCTTGTTCATTTTGAACCAGAGGTACCATTTCTATGCCAAACCTTAAGGGAAAAAAGCAAAAACAAATCAGACGTGGTTGGGGGACTGGCTTCATTCATTATGTTAGGTTCTGTTACGCACCAAGGTTACTAACATGAACAGAATGGCTCCTGCCCTCGAGGAGTTCACAGTCTAATGAGTGATCCAGACACAAAGTAAATATAAATATTGTTACGTGACAAGTACCAAATTAGAGAGTTGTATACAGCTATGAGAACACTGTTTCTGTTTGTATTTTTAGGGTTTTGCCATAGGGTGCCTATGCTCGCCAAAAAGAGACAGACAGAGGGAAAATGAGAAATCCTACACCCAGGGTGGATGGTCACACCACAATCCCTTCTCTTCCATCCTCCTCCTGGGATTTTGGGAATGCATGCATGTGTTTGGCATGATTTTCAAGTCACCAGTTCTAGGACTCAAAGTGCAGTAGGTCATGTGGGTATCCATCACTTCAACCTGACCAAAGAACACATCTGAAGGAGTAAAAACACTCTGTTTCATATGTAGTTTTAAAAATCTATATATTAACTTTTTCAAAACAAATAAAGGAGGAGCCAGCAGGTGGCATGGTGGTTAAAGATGCTAGATTCCCACACAGTTGACCATGGTTTGAGTCCCAGACCTGGTGGCTTGCTTTCTCACTTTCCCTTTCTCTCTGCTCAAATTAAAAAGTAATAACAAATAGAATGAAATAAATCATTATTTTAAAGAATAAAAACAAACAACTTTTACAGAGCACTCACAAATGCTAGACATGATACTAAGAGCTTCAAATTTAAAATCTCAAGTACTGTCACTGGTGTTGGGAAGAGAAAAAGGAACAAAATAAATATTATTTCAACAAAGACAGAAACCTTGCCCTCCCCACCAGCCTGGAGGGCTATGTGATTATAATGCAACAGATGAAGATGTTCACGTAGCAAACCTCTGCTGAACTCTACCTCACTATTCAGAAAAGTCTAGTACCGCAACGTAAGATGAATAGCTTAAGAGAAAGCATTTTATGGTCCTAAATATAATGCCCAGAGTACACATATCAACAGAAGGGTAACAATCCACAGGTTCTAACTAAGAGGTAATGAGAACAGGTATACTTAAAAATTGTACCACTCATTCTAAAACTGAGGTCTGGAAAAAAATACAAACATAGGCAAGTTTTCAAATTTGCTAGAGGGGGAGTCAAACTGCTGGTGCTCATTTTCTTGGGCTGTGCCTTCTTCGCTGAAGAAGCTGTACACCGAAGGAGCCCTGTCCATGATGACGCTGCTCTCAGAAAGGCTTCGCTTCCTTGCCAACCCAGGGGATGAGGAAATAGAAATACCTTCCCACTGGAATCCTTCTAGACTGGGCAGATCAGGCTCTGCATCCAAATCTAAGACCTCTTGTTCATTTTGAACCAGAGGTACCATTTCTATGCCAAACCTTAAGGGAAAAAAGCAAAAACAAATCAGACGTGGTTGGGGGACTGGCTTCATTCATTATGTTAGGTTCTGTTACGCACCAAGGTTACTAACATGAACAGAATGGCTCCTGCCCTCGAGGAGTTCACAGTCTAATGAGTGATCCAGACACAAAGTAAATATAAATATTGTTACGTGACAAGTACCAAATTAGAGAGTTGTATACAGCTATGAGAACACTGTTTCTGTTTGTATTTTTAGGGTTTTGCCATAGGGTGCCTATGCTCGCCAAAAAGAGACAGACAGAGGGAAAATGAGAAATCCTACACCCAGGGTGGATGGTCACACCACAATCCCTTCTCTTCCATCCTCCTCCTGGGATTTTGGGAATGCATGCATGTGTTTGGCATGATTTTCAAGTCACCAGTTCTAGGACTCAAAGTGCAGTAGGTCATGTGGGTATCCATCACTTCAACCTGACCAAAGAACACATCTGAAGGAGTAAAAACACTCTGTTTCATATGTAGTTTTAAAAATCTATATATTAACTTTTTCAAAACAAATAAAGGAGGAGCCAGCAGGTGGCATGGTGGTTAAAGATGCTAGATTCCCACACAGTTGACCATGGTTTGAGTCCCAGACCTGGTGGCTTGCTTTCTCACTTTCCCTTTCTCTCTGCTCAAATTAAAAAGTAATAACAAATAGAATGAAATAAATCATTATTTTAAAGAATAAAAACAAACAACTTTTACAGAGCACTCACAAATGCTAGACATGATACTAAGAGCTTCAAATTTAAAATCTCAAGTACTGTCACTGGTGTTGGGAAGAGAAAAAGGAACAAAATAAATATTATTTCAACAAAGACAGAAACCTTGCCCTCCCCACCAGCCTGGAGGGCTATGTGATTATAATGCAACAGATGAAGATGTTCACGTAGCAAACCTCTGCTGAACTCTACCTCACTATTCAGAAAAGTCTAGTACCGCAACGTAAGATGAATAGCTTAAGAGAAAGCATTTTATGGTCCTAAATATAATGCCCAGAGTACACATATCAACAGAAGGGTAACAATCCACAGGTTCTAACTAAGAGGTAATGAGAACAGGTATACTTAAAAATTGTACCACTCATTCTAAAACTGAGGTCTGGAAAAAAATACAAACATAGGCAAGTTTTCAAATTTGCTAGAGGGGCATGTGCACTCACTGGAGACAGAGAAAGACAAGGAAAGTAAGAAAGCACTCTCTACTGGAGATGGTCATGCTGCAATCCCTTCTCCATCTCTCCCTTCTTTTAGGATTTTGGGCATTCATGCACACATACCTGGTGTGTTTTTTAAGCAGCCATGTCTGGGACTCGAACTGAGCAGTTGGTCATGTGGAATCCCAGTCGCCTTAACCACCACGCCACCAGCTGGCCCTAGGCATACTTTTTTATGCTGTTATTTTCTAGCCCCTCTAAACCAGAGTGATCAATTTTTTATATTTTTTTCTGTCCCCATTTTGTTTCTCAGAAGTAGGTGTGCTTCCATTTTAACCTGGATTCCATTCCCTGCTAGGAAACACTTTTTTCCATCTGTGACAGATTAGCAGTCACTCTTTGATATTAAATCAGACATCTACAATGGATATTTTTGGCAAACATTTAATTAAATGAAACAAGTAGAATTCTCTTTACCAGGGTTGAAGGGTAACTTTAAAAGAAAGCAAGAAAGAAAAACAGATACTGAAAAGGGGAACACACCTGGGTAAGCCTTTGCCCAGCTCTTGCTTTTTCTTGGATACTTGCTGAATGACCTGTTCCCAGTTGACATTTCTCCGAGATGCATTTAGAATCTGCCGTAGGGTTGGCTTGAGCCCAGATTCCTTCTCTGTCTCACTCTTTCGATGACCGCTGATATTGCGAATGCGGCGAGCACTGTTGAGGTTTGGTTCAGGAAGGTGTGCTCCAGTTTTGCTCTTCAAACTAATGTGCCGGGTTAGATCTCTCTGGAGGGAGGCAGGAAAGCCAAGTTTACTTAGTTCAGGCAGGAGAGGGCCTGAGGGCTGATTGATATCATTTTTTTGAAGCTCTGCATCCAAGCTAGAACTCTCAAAGCCTTCTGTTTCATAAGACATATGAGATTTAACAGGGTCATCAACCTGTGCATCTTCTAGAGAGGTTTTCAAGTCTAGCAATAAGCCAGGGTGTGGACTGGCTGCCGATGTCATTTGTAGCTCGGACTCCTTCTGGGGAACTGTGGAATTACATGGTGACGTGGAAAATTTTCTGGATGTTTTCAGCATTTGGTCATCTCCTTCTTTCTCATCAATGGCGTGAGTGCTACAGGATAAAACTCCTGTAGGTGGGGAACCTGGGGTTCCAACTTTCGTTCCATGTTTTTCCATGTCAGATGCCTCTCCATCACTCTCATCTTCTATTCTGTTGACCTGAAACTCAATCTTCAAAGATTCTTTCTCAGACTCTTCTACATTCCTATTTGCTTTTGCATAGTTCTTGTTCCTTTCAGAAGTGCTAAGAACGGGATTCTGCAGTGACTCCTGACACTGTAGTACCTCTTTGGCCTTTTGTAACGTATCATTTATATTATCATCAGATTCCTTCTGAGTGCCCAGTGTACTTTTACTCCCTTTTAAAACACGAGGACATGAACTATGCAATTTGGGTGTGTATGAAGAACTATGGTTATCTACCACAGTGGGTTTGTTTGAGGGATCTGAGTGTTCTCCAGGAAAAAAAGAATTAGTTTTAGTGTTTTTTGAGTGATTCTTTAACTCATGCTTCTGAGGAACTGATTTAGTGGCTGGAATTGGAAGGAGAGGGGATTTCAATAATGGCATTTTATTTGAGTTATGACCTTGTTCAGGTTTTTTAGTAATGGAGCCATCTCTTCCCACCTCACAGGAAGCACTGCAGTCAGAAGCAGCTTTGTGACTATGAGATCCAGTATGCATTTCTTTTTGTGTTTTCTGTGTTGGGAAACTATTCATTTTATCAGTTTGGGATTCTTTTACTCCTGTGATCAAGCTAAAATCAAATAAAGGCTTATCTATCACTTCTGACTTGTTACCAGTGACTTCCTTCAATCCTGATTGTAAATCCTGAGTCTTCTGGGAAGGGTAAGGAGTCCAGCGATGGGATTTTTCCCGTGCTACACTGCCATTCTTTCCACTGATTTTGGAAGCTGCAGCATCTGCTTGTTTAGTGGTTTGGCTTTCCAGCTGCTCAAAATTGAAGTCAAGTAACCCTTCTGAAGGAAACTTATCATTTGTAAATGCTTCAGAAGGTGCTCTATACTTGGCAACCGTGCCAACTATGTCATTTTCCTTCCGCTGCCAACTGTATCTGTCTTGATTGTATTTGCCTGACTTTATAGATTTCTTGTTCCATAGCATATTCATGTCTTCCTTTTGACAATTAGAATTTCTGTTTCTGCCTGGCTGAAATTTGTCTCCAGGGCCACTGTAATTCCAACTATTTGTACCACGTCCATTGGATTTCCAGTTTCCGTTATTGTTTTTCATATGCCAACTGGAAAAGCCACCTGTTCCTTCAGAATGCCAACTGGAATTCCTTCCTGTACTGTTATGATTCCAATCTACCGTCCCACTGTTTGAATGCCAACCACCTCCAGATTTACTATGGTTGTGAAACCAAGGAGAGGAGCCTCCTGCACCACCCGTATGCCACCCGGAGCGTCCTCTTGGTCCACCACTATTTCTCAAAGGATGAGGAAAGCTGTTTCTAGTATTATTAAAGCCATCACTTTCCCATTTCCAGTCTCGCTGTGGAGGTCCACGATGATGCCATGCGGGCTGACTGTAACTCTCTCTGTCTTGGTAAGGGATTCGGTCTTCTCGTCTCCATTGGGGTCGCCTGTCATCAGAGTTTATTTCTTGGCTGTTATTGGAAGGTTCACTTTGCCTGGAAGAAAAACAATTTTTGTTAGTGATTTAAAGTAATTCTTATCCTTCTTTTAAACTTCCCCTTTCCCCTCTCCCCTGCTGCATAGTATATAAGAGAGTCTATTTTTATTTCCAGTGGTGATTGCATCCATATCTTCATTTTTTAATTTTTATTCATTTATTTATTTATTTTTGCCAGAGGGTATATGTGCACTAGGGAGAGGAGAAGCAAGAAAACAACCTCCGTGGGGCATGGTCATGCTGCAATCCCTTCTTCGCCATCTCTTCCCCCTCTGGGGATTTTGGGTACATGCACACACATGCCTGGCATGTCTCTCAAGCTGCTAGGTCTGGGTCTCAAACTATGCAGTCAGATACATGGGACTGAGCCACCTTAAGCATGGGTTGGCTCTGCTTTCATATCTTCAAAGGACGCCGTGAAATTTATATTTAATTTATTAATACTCAGGTTTTTTTTAACTTAAGTACTAAAATATCTTTCCCCTGTTGCTCCAGAAACACTAAAAACTTGACACATTTATACATTTATCCTCTCTTTTCTTAGTCCTTTTTTTCTTGGCATGTTCTGGGATTTCGTCCCTATAATCCAATCATTATTTTAACATTATGTAGCCTTTTTTTTAGAGAATTATTTTATTTAACTTTATTTATTATTATTATCATTATTATTTTCCAGTTGGATCAGAGAGAAACAGAGAGAGATAGGAAGTGAGAAAGCAAGCCACCAGGTCTAAGACTTGAACCATGGTTGGCCATGTGGGAGTCCAGCTCCTTTAACCACTGTGCCACTTGCCGGCCCCAACATTATGTAACTTTTTCAAAATAAGAATAGTTATATTTTGTAGTTATGGTTAGTTATCATAGTTTATACAATTCTATATCCAGATGCCCTTAAAATCATAATTTCTCTAGGTGCAAGTTCTTTCTGAAAAATCCAGTTTCTTGGGACCAGCAGTTAGCGTAATGGCTATGTTGCTGGACTCCCATGTAGTCGACCGAGGTTCACATCCCAGACCCGGTGGCTTAAAACTCACGCCGGGCACGTGTGCGTGCGTGCCCAAGATCCCGAGAGGAGAATGGAGGAGAAGGGACTGCGGCGTGGCCATCCCCCCTGGGGAGTGATTTCTCGCTTTCTGTCTCTCTGTCTGTCTGGCGAGCGCACGCATCCTATAGAAAAAAACCTCTCCACAAGAAAAAAAAACAGTTTCTTAATCTATTCTAAATGGTAAGATTATACTTTGTGTGACTGATTTAGTTAATAAGCACTTTATCAAGCACCCAGTGACTGTTAGGGATGTTAAGGAAACTCTTATGGATAGTTTATATTCATGAAGAGCTTAATAGCACTCACAGTAAGTATTGTAAGGAGCTTTATGATCTAGAGGTTTTTATAAAGAAGCTACGGTAGCCTGAATTAGTCATGTTAGACAAGGAGTCCACAGAAACGTGAATAAATTTAAGTAAATGCCACAGTAATAGGTGTAAAACCATTTTCCTCTAGATACTGCCTATGTATGCTTGGCACATGGTAGGTGTGCAAAATATTGAGTAATACTACCTAAAACTTACTGAGTAGCTACTATTGTCCAGTATCTATACAGATTATCTTATTTCATTCTCATGATCTTGTGGCAAGTATTCTTATTAATTCCACTTTTAAGATGAGAAAACTGAGGATTAGAAAAGTTAAGTAACTTGCCTAGGGCAGGCCAGCCAGGAAATGTAGAGCAGAGATTTAAAACTTGGCAATTTGACTTCACAACTATACTTCTCACCACTAGGCTTTGGCAAAGTGAAAATCCTAAAACAAAGTTTCTACAGTTGGGTTCTTTCCTCTGTACTTGACTAAATCTTAAACTTAGTACTGACTTTAACTGAGTTTAAAAGCCAGCCAGTGACAGGGTGGTTATGATGGCTGGATCCACCAGGGTCAACTGTGTTTTTAGAGTAACAGACTCATTGATCTGAAAAACATGCCAGGTGCACGTGTGTGGGCGCCCAAAGGCCCGAGAGAATGAGAAGGGACTGCAGCATGGCCATGCCTCCCCGAACCAAGAGGGTGCTTTGTCACTTTCTCTCTCCCTTTCCAGCAAGCATAAGTGCCCTATAGAAAATTACTAAAAAGAGAAAAAGCTTTGAATGTATTCAATATTTTGGACCCAAATTGGAATTTATTTTTTTTTTTTTTTTTACAAGATAGAATTAAAAATCACCTAAAAATTCAAACATCTGTGTACATTATAAACTACAACCATTTCTAAACAGGAAACTCTGAAGTCCCTAAGTACATACCCCAGCAAGATTTTTTTTTTTAAATCACCACTAATAAAATTGTCTTTATTGTTTGTTTCTAAGGAGACCACTGACTCAGCTATACTAATATGCTCAGAAGTGGGAGAACTGAGCCATTCATGAAAGCAATCACAAAGTAGAATTCCTAAATCATCATGAATTGGCTAGACCAAGGGAATAATAGTATTCAGCTGAACACACAGCCCAGAAAGAGGTTAAAAACTCATGAAGGCAAAAGCAAAACTAAACAAAAGAAACTTCATGAAGAAATAACTAGATGATTTTATAAACAGGTCATCAAAGAGACATATCAGAAGACTTAAAGGACAGCAACCACAGTATGAACATCTAAATCCACTGAGAAGCTCTTTCACCCTGATTTCATGTTTAATCATTGATACTGATAAGCTAACGGCTCTAGTGTGTTAGAACAAAGTAGAAGTTTATCTCCAAGAGGCTCCAACTCCCTAAAACAGGAGAAAGAGTGAATGGCAGGCTCTACTTAAAGTAATGAGAATGTCATTTGAAGGACTACACAACAGAACGATTTAAGAACCATGTTGCTATTGTCAGGCACTTGTCAAGGAAGTTTTAAAAAACAGAATTAAAAAAAACTTTTTAATAATCAAACCTAGAACTACAAAGTTATTAGACATAACTAATCTTCCAAAAAGATCTTTAAAGTTTTATTTTAGAATTTGAAATGTTTCTCATCATGTTCTAGGACTTAAGGTTAGCCCACCTCATTAGGTGGTTCTCTCTCTTTCATTCATACCCCAAAATTTCTACCTCATTAATTAAACTCTTTAGACCACAAATCAGTAAAGTAAAAACAAAATGCCCAATCACTGAATATATAAAAGTAAGTATGAAATTATGCAGTGCAAGTCAGAACACTTATATTGCTCAAATGACCTTGGCACTGTCAAATTTAAAATAAATGCATTCAATATATATTTTCCAGAGCACTTATAGTGAATCAAGCACTATGGTAGTCAGTGAGGATTCAAAGACAAAGAGATAAGCCAAATTTGGTAGAAATACCATGTTAATTTACATCAGGCAAAGAATTTTTTTCCTAAGGGGTCTTATTTTGGCAATAAAAAATACTACACAACTTATTTGATGAAGCTTACAGCCTAATATCTTTTCACTAGAAAAATCTGGGTACCAATAAAAACAACTCTAAATGCAGTTAACAACATGGCAAGAATTTCAGTTATGTAGGCATAGCAACAGATAGTACTGAGTTTGGTTTGTACAAAGCAAGTAGTTAAAGAATTCCACTGCCTCTTTGCAACCTCAAATTAATTTTATAATTAAGATAAACTTAAATGTTGTAAGTTGAAAAGTACAAAAATGTAGGATGTATTCTCTATTACATTCTATTAAATAAGCTTAAGAAAATCAAAATAATTACTTACCGACTTTGCTCTTTTCTTTGTTTTATTAACTGAATGAGTTCCTTGTCAAAATATTCTTCTTCTTCTTCTTCTCCCTTTCCATCATCTTCTCTTTCCTTGGCATCAACGTTATCTTTGTGCAATTGGCCAGAAATGTGCTTTGCATATGCAGAAAGACCCACTTCTGTGACCCCGCACACTCGGCACTCATGACTACTGTCCCTAGG